TCAAGGTCCAGATTGTAGATACATTCTTGCTCACAGCTTAGGATGCTTCTGTGTGGGCCTTGCCAGCACACAGGAAGAACAAGAGATCTTGGGCAGAATGTTCCTGCGTGGGCTTTGCCTGCACACAGGATCAACAAGTGGCCTTGGGACTAAGGGTTCCTGGGCAAGACCGACTGTGTGAACACCACCGGGCCTCTTCCCTTATATTGGAAGCTCCTGGGCGAGTTTGTGCAAACACCACAGGAATAAGAGACCTTGGCTCAGCTGCCCTCCACAAATATTAGTACTGAAACTGTACTCATACTTGCCCAGTAACCTGAAGTAAATTATTGTTGGGTTGAATCATATAAAATTGCCATTTGAATATTGACAATTTTTTAATGGTTCGATTGAATATAAAAGAGTTGTGAAACTAAGTTGCTAAGAACATCTAGGGGACCCAAGCCCTTAAAAACTAGAGACAACCCAGCAATGTAATCACATAGCAGCTCTAAAAAATAAAACTGAAGGAAAGGGATTTCTGCAGCAGATTCAAAAAAAAACCACAATTTCAAATAATAAAGCATACAATTCAGTATAACTGGCCTCTAAAGCAACCAATACTTTATAGTGGATTGATTTTGAAAGCTAAACTAATATTTTATATTCAAGTACCTATCCTCTCTCCCCTAAGTTACAAAATGAATGTTCTCAGAATTTCAAAAGGAACATGTTATAATTATTTATTAAATTTTTAAAAATGCCTAATTTTGATTAAACATTTACAAAATTAATGCTTATTTATAAGGTTTATTTTATTTTTTCCATCACCATTTATTCCCTCTATGCCCTCTTCCACCTCTACCCTGCCCCCACAATCACGACACTGTTGTCAATGTCCATGAGTTTTCTCTCTTTTTTTTTTCCTCACCCGAGGACATTTTCCTTTTTTTTGTTCAGGTAGTGTGGGAGGAGAGAGAGAGAGAGAGAGAGAGAGAGAGAGAGAGAGAGAGAGAGAGAGAGAGAGAGAAAACAACCAACCAGGGCCATGGACAAACTGCAGCCGAAGTACGCGCCCTTAGCGGGAACCGAACCCGGGTCTCTCTGGACCCTAGGCCAACGCTCTAACCGTTGAGCCAAACCAGCCAGGGCTCTTTTTTGTTTTTTGCTTGATCTCTCCATGCCCTTCACCAGAGCTGTCTGACTGTTCTCTATCTGTGAGTCTTGATTCTATTTTGCCTGGTAGTCCCATTTGTTCATTAAATTCCACATAGGAATGTAATTTTTTTACTGCAAAAAAAAAAAAGCTAAAAGTTTTTAATCAACATTATTTTAGATATTAAAATTCATAAATATCTATATTGATTTTATTATAAAATTATTTATTTTCCTATATATTTCCAGCAAGATAAATTTTTAAAATTTAACATTGTATTTATAATCTACCTTAAAGTTTGTCAATCTCTGAAACTGAAAAAAGTATACTAAAACCTCAAAACACGACTGTACAATTCCAAGATAGCCTGATATTGCACAAGGCTATCATCTTATACTCCCATTCATCTTTTCAATTTCTACAACCTAACTATGGATTTTTTTTTTAAATATATATTTTTATTTTTATTTTATTTTTTATTTTTATTCCTCACCCGAGGACATTTTTCTATTTATTATCAGACAGAGTGGGAGGGAGAAAGAGAGAGACAGAGAGAAACGTTGATGTGATAGAGCCACATCGACTGGTTGCCTCCCACACGACCCAGCCAGGGCCGGGGATGAACCATAACTGAGGTACATAGCCTTGACTAGAATGGAACCAGTGACTCATTGGTCAGCGGGCCAATGCTCTAACCACTGAGCAAAACCGGCCAGGGTTTTTTTTATTGATTTTTAGAGAGAGAGGAAGAGAGGGAGAGAGAGACAGAAACATCGATGAGAGAACATCGATTGGTTGCCTCTTACATACCTCCCACTGGGGACTGGGCCCACAACCTGGGCATGTACTCTGACTGGGAACCTCTTGGTGCATGGGTCAATGCTCAACCATTGAGCCACACTGGCTGATCCTAACTATGGATCTTTAAATGATATGTAAAACATGAGTAGAATAATGCTAATATAATAATATAACATTTAGAGAAAATATACCTCTATGATAAATACATCAGATTAGTCATATAATTCTCTCTCTCTAAACCAGCAAAAAATAAAAATTAAATTAAATTTTAAAAATATATATATATATTTACCCCCACCCTTTTTTAAACTGAGGAATAATTCACATATCATAAAAAAACAAAAACAAACAAACAAAAAACCACACCAAAAAAAAACCCTTTTAAAGTATACAATTCAGTGGCTTTTAATATATTCATAAAAGTGTACAACCATGACCATTATTTAATTCTGGCACATCTTCCATAAACCCCATACCCAACAGAATGACTCCCCATTCCTATCTCCTCCCAGCCCCTGATAACTAATATCTACTTTCTATCTGTATGAATTTGCCTCTTGTATATTTCACATAAATGAAATAAAAAAATTTGTAGCCTTTTGTCCCTAGCTTCTTGCACTTCACATACTGTTTTGGAGGTTTATGCATGCTGTAGCACATATCAGTGCTTCATGTTTTTTAATGACTGACTAATATTCCACTGTAAGAATAATCAGTATTCCCGCCTTTACCTTTGGGGGATACGTAACAAGACCCCCAGATAATGCCTGAAACCACAGATAGTATCAAACCCTATATATACTATGTCTTGTCCTATATTTAATCACACACACACACACACACACCCCCCTATGATAAAGTTTAATTTATAAATTAGGTACAGTAAGAGATTAATAATGACTACTAATAAAATATAACAAGTATAACAATAAACTGTAATAAAAGTTATATGAATGTGGTGTCTCTCTCACTCTCTCTCTGATAACCGAGATGGCTACTAAGAGACTATGTGGTCGATAGATATGCTAGACAAAGTAATGATTCACGTCCCAGGCAGAATGGAATGGGATAGTACAAAATTCCATCGTGCTACTCAGAACAGTGCACAATTTAAAATTTATGATTGCTTATTTTTGAAAAATTTCATTTAATGGTTTTGGACCACAGTTGACTGTGGATAACTGTAACTGTGAAAAGTGAACCATATATGATAAAGTTTTGTTTTGTTTTTTATCCTCACCCGAGGACATTCTTCCATTTTTTGTTCAGGTAGAGTGGGAGGGAGAGAGAGGAAGAAAGAGAGAGAGAGAGAAACATCAACATGAAAGGGACACATCAAGTGGCTGCCAGCCGCATGACATACCAGGGCCGGGGACAAACCTCAACCAAGGTACATGCCCTTAGTGGGAACGAAACCCGGGTCTCTCTGGACAGCAGGCCGACGCTCCAACAGCTGAGCCAAACTGGCCAGGGCCATATATGATAAAGGTTTAAGTTAAAGTAAACAACAGTGGCACCACTAGCAGGTCTCTGAAGACCCTAAAGACCTCGATATAATTTCTAATAGTAGTATCTTCTTCTTTAGGTATAGATTGCTCTTCTGAGTTCATTCTTTTACATTAAATATCTTCTGAACAAGTGATATAGAAAAAAATCTCATCTAGCTTTTGCAAACCATGAATAAGCAGAAAAAACAAACATAACAAAAAAAGAAGCTACAACATAAAGGATTCTAAGTTTTTTTATGTTGACCTCACCTGGCTTTTAAAAAAAATTACATATCTCAAACCAAAGAACTTATATGCACATATGCATAACCAATGAACACAGACAACAATACTGCGGGGTAAGGGGCAAGATAAGGAAGAAGGTGTCAATGGGGGGAAAAGGAGAAACATCTGTATCAAAAATAAATAAATAAATTTTTAAAAATCTACATATCTCACATTTGACTTAAATATTTAAAAAGATTAAAGTCATTTATTACAATGATAAAAATACAAATTTTTAATAGAAGTACATACCAAATATATATGGTTATAATTACATATTTGTACATTTTACAGTTTGAGCTATTCTCCTAAATTACTATGGCAAGCATTTCTGCTAAATATTTAGGATTAACGTGATGGATCTGAAAAGAATCAACCCCCAAATATTTAATTTTGTAAACAGAACAACCAAATTCATCCAAAATGTCCAAACTGGCAACACTGATTGGAGGTTAAAATTTACCCTATATGTTTGGGAGCAAAGAATGATTTTCTTAACTAGCTGATTAAAAGTATTTGCTATAGATCGCCTCGAACATATCCTTGAAAAATACAGACTATAAAGTTTTGATTTAAATTATATAAAGTGTGGTCAGGAACCCCTAAATGTTATAAATTGAAAACAATAGTTTATAACATGTCAATTCGTAACCTTCCAGTCAAAATAATGCAATATTATTCCTCCACGAACAAATGACATGTTCAGAATACTCTACCAAAATAAATACAGCATTGAAAGTAAATTTTTAAAGGCAGTATTTTTTAGATTGTGAAGCTATATCAATTTTTTAAAAACAAATACTGTTTTACTATACTAAATATACTAAAGAACATTGAATTGTGCTGCTGTTTTACTAGTGTTGAAATTTTTTTACATCTATTCTTTAAATTCAACTTTACTTACAATTAGAAAAATTAACAGGAATAATGACTTTCTTTTTTTTATAGGACATTTATAGAATTCTGTATCTAAAGGGAAGTTTTCATTTTAAAAAGAGACAAACTAGTATTCTATAATCTCTCTTTGCTACAATTTTAAACTATATATTTAAACCAATTAAATCTAGTTTGTTGCATTTGAAGAATATCCAATATGCCCTGGGTCTAATATTTAGTTCAAATTCAATAAATATTCATTAAGTGGTCTACTACATGCCTAACACTATGCTAAGCATTGGGGGGGGGGGAGGAATAAACATTTGATTTTCTCTATCTTTCTCCACATTGTCCTTATGGCTGGCCCACACATATAATCACTTGAAGAAAGATGCCAGCAGGAGAGTATTACCTACCTTCATTTACTACACACTTGGCTTAAATTTATACACATGGACTCTAAACTCAGAATTCAAATAAATATCAACTATAAAAAAGAATTCATAAGAATCTGTTTTTTTCTTCCCCCTGTAGGGCACTCATCACTGAGGGGTAAAATTTTTCTCGTATGCATCATGAAGGAAGATCCTTTTTCCACGTTGTTGGCAAAACTGTCAATCATCTTGATGAGCAGCAAATAAATGAATGCCCAATGATGGGATTCTATATTATCCTTAAAAAAGAAATCCATCAACTAAACATCAACAGGTAAATGTTTATACTCGACAGCCATCAATTTCAACTATCCATGCAAAAAGACAGGTGAGCTGGACTGGTAAACCTCGAAATTAGAGAAGTATTAATCGTCTGCTTCCAGCCAATATAAACAGATGTTATTTTTAAACAGGCAAAATCATCTCTTCCACTGAAATTTATTTGCAGCAGATAATGTTCTGTTACATTTTTAATCAAGCAGATGAAGTTACATTTAAATTGAAAATCTGCTTCACTCAACTAATCAGGCAAGTAAAATTCAGAGATGATTGAATGGCATTACACAGCACACTATTACGGCAGGTAAATTGGGAAATTTACCTGTCACACCACACAGGGTATTGTTCAACCACTGCATCTGCAACTTAGAAGCAAAGCGCTAAGACAAAAAGGGAAAAGCATGTTAAACAAACTTATAAATCCATCATATTTTATGAAAACATTATTAAGTCTGCCAGCAAAAAAAAAATTAATAAATATTTTTTTTAAAAGGAAAAAAACACACACCACCTCTCAGGGAATCAATGAAGATTTACATGGTTATGCTTATCTGTTGCATGTAAATAGCATGCCTGGTTATTTTGAAGATCAAGATACATCCCAAGCTAAGGAAAAAAAGTAAACATTACATATCACAGCAAAAGGCAGAGAAACAATGATCACATACTATCAAGAATATGATGGTCAAACACAAGACAGGTTATAAAAAACATTTTATCAAGAAGTAGCAGATAAAACAAGCAACATTACACTACTTGGCAAAATGAAATGACTAGGACTTCATTCATCAGTACAGATAATTGATTTCATATACAACAAAAATACCACGTATAAGAAATTGCCAATTTACTCTATTTATAAAGAGCCCAGTTCATTCGAGTCACTTGTAGTTCTCTGTAAAATTAGAATGTTAACATTTCTAACATGTCTTCAAAATTTACTTTCACAGATATCCAAAAAAAATCTAACAGCTATTTCCATTGTTTCCACTGAAACCCAACATTTACTTTCACTGCTTAATATCTACAAACTCAAATGATTTTGCTGCAAAAGCTGAACTTAATATCACTGCTTACAACATTGTGAATCATTCCAACATCATGTACCAATACCAAGTTACATCTTTTATAACTTATTTATAATATAGTTTAATTTCATCCTCACAACTTTAAAAATACAGGGTGGGGCAAAAGATTTACAGTTGTGAGTACACAAAACAGAGTTTATTCCTGTATTATTATTTATTAATTACTATCTTACTTTCCATATGGAACAAGTATAAACCTACTTTTGCCCCACTCTGTATATAGGCTCATGTGCCTTTCTCTTTTCTTTCCTTCTCCTTTTCCTGTTTCCTTCCTTCCTTCTTTTAGTTTTACCTTCTCTTTCTTTTTTGGGAAGATAAGGTGGGGATGTCAGGGTTGAAACAGTATATAACACTGAAATGTGCTCTAAATTATGAACACATAATTTTACTGTTTTACTCTTAATGTGGTGTAAACTCACCCTGATTTTCCATTAGAAGTGATGAATTTGGCCTGATATATACATACCCTGTCATGGGGTTAGTTAATACAGCTAGCTAGACATCGTACACTCATCAGCATGGTGTCTTAACTATCAAGGCATCATTTTCAGTAAATTACTTGTTAGGGTTAGAACAGTTTAAGGTTTACAGAAAAATAGTGAAGATTGTACAGAATTCCTACATGCCCCAAACCCAGTTTCCCTTCATTAGTAATATCTTACATTAGTATGGTAGATTTGTCAATTTTAATGAACTATTATTGATTCTTTATTAATAACTAACATCCATACTTTATTTTTACTTAATGTTCTTTTATCTGTATCAGGATCCCATCCAGGATAGTATATTACATTTAGTTGTCAGGTCCCCTTAGGCTCCTCTGGGCTGTGACAGTTTCTTAAACTTTCCTTGTTTTTGATGACCATGCCAGACTTGAGGAGTACTGATCAGGTCATTTTATAGAATGTCCCACAATTGGGATTTATGCTTTTCTCAAGTCTAGGCTGGAGTTACGGGTTTTTGGGAGGAAGACACGGAGATAAAGTGACATTCTCATCACATAATCTCGTGTAAATGTTATCAACATGACTTGTCAATGATGATGACAGCCTTGATCACCTGTCTTATCACTGTGTTTAAATTTAGTCTCAGTCTTCACAAACACTGCATTTATACTTTTCAAAACTCCATAATAATATACTACTATTCTTCACTGTTGAAGATGACTATTTTAACAATTACTATTTAGATGTGACTCACAGGGAGAAAAAAAAATCCATTTGTGTTTCCCATACTGCACAAAGATTAGTCTTTGAGTTGCTACAATGATTTTTCCAAGTCTGAACACATTTCTGGCCTGACTCTTTGCTTTCAAAGTTGGTCTAAAACAGAGGTACTCAACTTGGGCTGACCATTAGAATCATAAGGAGGAGTTTTAAATATATTGTTACCCATGCTCCAATTTAATCAGAATTCTTGGGTACCAGTTTTTAAAAACTCTCTAGGTTATCTGATACAGAGCCAGGGTAGAGAACCACTGTCCAAGGCCCCAGCTCTGGATTGACTGTAGCAATGCAAGCTGATGTGTCTTCCCAGTTACAGCATTCATAACTTTGCTATACTATTTGGGGTTTATATCCTTATGTCTCTACAATTCTTCCTGTAAAATGGCTTGGGCTTAAAAGAACTCTATATAAGTCAATGACACTGCAATGCTATTTAAACACTAGTAGATTAAACATAGTCACAGGCAGAAGACAGTGACTAACATTTAGAAATATTACTGATGAAAGTATGCATACTCCAAGGCGAAAACTTCAAGGCTGGATACTAAACCACCAACATAAAAACATTTTAAATTTCCCAAAACACAGTGATAGACTATTGTTTAAACCCTGGTGCTCACTTCTGCACTGAAGCAACAGTCTATGGGGTGACTGAGTTCTGAGGCTAACTCAATAAAAGGTTATTTAACCCATAAGGCTAAAGCAATATTCACCTGACGATTATGAAATTGCCATTTTCAACCATTACCTCAATTTCATATAATTCAATCTAATATTCAACATTTTCAATAAAAAAAAATAACACTTAAATAGAACTAAAAGAATATTTTTAAAATTTTGTTTAATATTAAATATTTGCATCTGGTGGAAAGGCTGGACAGATAGATGGTCTGTCACGTCAGACAATTAATTCCATTTACCCATAATGAAAGGGATCAAACAGTTTTGTGAGAGAGAGGGACAGAACTAGAAGAGGGGTGGAACTAGCAGAAGCAGAGAGGTAGTTGGGAATCAAAAGAAATGAAAGTGTCCCAGCGGTTAGAGCGTCGGCCTGTGGTCCAGAGAGACCCAGGTTCAGTTCCTGCTAAGGGCATGTACTTCGGTTGCAGTTTGTCCCCGGCCCTGGTTGGGTTGTGTGGGTGGCGGCCACTCGATAGTCCCTTTCACGTCGATGTTTCTCTCTCTCTCTCTCTCTCTCTCTCTCTCTCTCTCTCTCTCTCTTCCTCTCTCCCTCCCACTCTATCTGAACAAAAAAAAAATGGAAAAATGTCCTTGGGTAAGGATAAAAGAAATGAAAACTAGAGCTGTCAAACAGAAAAATGAACAAGAGTCCTTAGTTCAGAGATGCAATTCCATGACAGATACGGATGTGTGTTGTTCAATGTTTAAAGAGAGAAGATAACTTTAAAGAGTGAGGACTTTTATATATTCCCATCATGAAATGATAAGAAAACAGGCAGGATCAGGTACCCTGACTATATCCAGTAAACTACAGGATCAGATATTCTTAAGGTTATTATATTGACTCTCATGAAAAATAATTTGTTTTCCTAGACAGTGAATACTCTGAGCCCTTCAATAGTGCCATAAACAAAGATTAGGGAAAATAATCTTCTCTCTCCTTTTTCCCTGACAGAAATCGTCAACTATTAGGAGTGGCATAAGAAAGAATCAACTTAAATATAAATATCCTTCAACATATACTTATTATAAACATTCTTTATCCAAATGATCAATTATGAACCATTTCTCTATTTTCTATGGATTTATTCCTTGAGGTAATAATTTATAGTCTGCTTTTTTAGTTAAGATAACCATTTTCCAATATTAACCCCCCAAAACCCAATGTATAAACATTTCTGCTGACTCACACAATATTCCATGAAATAGATGCATAATCAATATCTAATTATTCCATTTTTGCTGGATATTTTTCCTTCCTTCCTTCCTTCCTTCCTTCCTTCCTTCCTTCCTTCCTTCCTTCCTTCCTTCCTTCCTTCTATCCTCACCCAAGGATATTTTTTCTATTTATCTTCTGACAGAGAGAGGGAGAGAGAGAAAAACATGGATGTGAGAGGGACACATTGACTGGTTGCCTCCCGCAGGACCCCAACCAGGGACTGAACTGCAACCGAGGTATGTGCCCTTGGCCAGAATCGAACCCACGAATCGAATCCACAACTTTTCAGTCCGTGGGCCGATGCTCTAGCCACTGAGCCTAACTGGCCAGGGCATAAGCACATCCTGTGTACTAACACAGTACTAGTAGGACTTGAAATTATATAGCTACTATGGAAAAGTTTGGCAGTTTCTTTAAAAATTAAACATACAGCCCTGGCCGGTTTGGCTTAGCAGTTATACTATTTTTACTTGTCTCTACCTGATTATAAATTCCTTGACAGAATAGATGGTATCTTCTTTACCTGTATACCTCCAATTCCTTGCATATAGTAGTTGTTCAATAAATGGTTACTGAATTAATGAAAAGATAAATATGCAAATACTGTTAAAACAGTTTCATCCATATGTGTTACAACTGATTTTCCTGAGTGACTAGAGAAATATACCACTGACACATTTAGGACACTGTAGTGTAAGACCAATTTAAGAGGAAAGACAGTAAGTTGAGCTGAGCTTGTGAAGACTATAAGACATCCAAATGGAGCAATCCAAAGGCCTCATTGGAGGGTCATGACTGGTAATACAAACTTTGCAATCTTCTGTATAGAAATGGTACTTGAAATGGTGAGAATAAGAAAGAGAAAGGCAAACCAGTGAAAACAACACATACACATCCCTTGTTTTCTGCGTATTTTCCCTCTAATTTTCCTTTTGTTCTTCAGTTGACAATCTGATAGATACAGAAGGCACATTAGAACGTGAGGCATAAGGCCCATAAAGCATAAGTATCATTTATCATTAAACAACTATATACAAATGTCTTTTATTTAATAAATTTTGTAATCAACTA